GGAGTTGGTTCTCTAAAGTACTCCTATCCAAACACCTTCACCACTAAATTAGCAAAATTCACCATCGCTTCTAGGCATGCGCTTTCAGACATCCAAAGGTACTCGTCTCACGAATCTGTGGTCGTGCCATAGGCAAGCATCCTCATTGCAGCCGTACTCTTCTGGTCACAAGAGAAGAACCCAATGGTTCCAACAGCATCCTTCTTTAGGATGAAGTAATCGTCATAAACCCAGGAACCATGGTAAATGTGGTCAAACTGCATCCGAAATCATGGGCGAAAATAGTGCTCGAATAATACATCGGAGGCAAAGTAGTCATCAACTAACATGGGATACCCCCTGTGCCCTATTCTAATTGAACACTGGATGTTCCTTTAGTGATCTCTTGTAGATGATAACATGCTCCTCTGCATGTAACATGCATGCAAAAACCGTCTTCATCATCTGACTTATCATCCTCATATTCCTTCTCCTCATTTGACAAAGACGAATCCATGAACTCGTTGGAGAAGTACTCCTCTTCTCATTCATCATGTTTGCTTCAAGGTAAACAAAGAGAAACTCAAAAAATTGGCAATGACATTTGACCGAACACTTGCTGCCTTGCTGGGCATGGTGTCCGTTATGGACAATGTCAGCAGAGGGCACACGATAGCTGGGCTGCAGACGGATCTGGAGTGGAACTGCTGTGTTGTCCAAGACGAGAAGGCACCTGGGTGGAGCGATGGAGGTCCGACAAGGTCTGGTTGGCGGTCGGGGTGGTACAACGACATCGTCGATGGCAAAGGATGCCGATACACTGTGGCGGTGCCATGAATTCATTCATGTGTAGTCAATTCAAATTTGTGTAGGCATATGTATGTATTTATGATTTTCTAATCTTAATATATACTCAGGGGCGGATCCAGCCCAGCCCAGCGCCCCGGGCCTCCTTTGTGCACTGTAGCAACTGCTACAGTGTTTTGCTGAATTATACAAAGGAAATGGGCCTCACGCCCCGGGCCTGGGCCCCCCCCGGCCTGGGGCCTAGATCCGCCACTGTATATACTTATTGTATGATGTTATTGCCAAAAAAACTGTGTAGTCATTTGGCTACACAGCTCATGCATGGCTTCGCCACTGCCGATACAGATCACAAGGGAGGGGCTGGTCGGGGAAGAAGGGCTTCGGGTAGGACTTTAGATGGGCCGGTGGTGTCGGGATCCGACATGGCAGACGTGTGGTTGTCCGCAGACTTTCCTTCATTTGGTGTCGGTCTGCGAGATTTCAATCATCCGGTCCGTTCCGAACAATTTTGACGACCGACCGCAGTTGAATTGAAAAAAAAATGTTTGAATTACCTGGTGTGAACATTTGCGAGCGTCGAGCGAACCGGTCATCCTCGTTAGAGTTGCCCTCGGACAGAGTAACGTCTGTTGCAGTTTTGTGGACGATTCCAGCACCGATGCTCTGTGCTTGTTTAAAACAGCTCGGCTGTGTCATGTCATGATGTGACATGTGGAGGCCGAAGCGATTAGTTATCCTCGCGTGGTTATAGTTAAAGAAAACACTAATTGAAACCTGCACGAAAGAGATGCCATTGCCATCCATCCATCCATGCAGAGGCGAAAGCATCACGCCGCCACTTCATATTTTGACTCACGGGCTGGCGCCCCGCATCGCTATCCCACCCAGCGGCGCCCGTGACGTGTTCGTCCCTATCCACACCCCGCGCCGCACCGCAGCTCCCTCTGACGAGAGCACCTTTCGCCGTGGCCACCGGCCAGCTGTTTCGTCGAAGACGAAAAGGAGGAAGCACCGGCCCGACTAAAGAATGCTCCCGTTTTTTAGGGAACCGCCTCTGCTGGAGGGCTTGCAAGTGGCGGCCAAAAGCGTGCTAGGTAAAATTTCGATGGCCACTTTTGGCTTGAGATGAGGTGTTTGCTCGGAAGAATATGTGCGAGGGGGGCAATGGATCGACGGATAAGGGGTGGATCGCCCGAGCGCGCCACGTTGCTGCCGACCTGGACCATGGAAGAGCGGAACGAGCCCAGCAACCACCGGCCGCTTCCGGAGTTGAGTTTCAACCAAAAGAGTCTAATCAGTACGCCGCGTGAGCCTCGCTTGCTGAGGAAGCATCGCCGGCTTGCAATCAGTGCCTTTTTTCTTTTTCAGAGTATAATCGGAGTAGCTAGCTTCTTCCATGTCTACATCCGGACCCTCTATTTCCTTCTTAAATGTTGGAGTATCCGTCCGATCAGTGTCCGGGCAAAAAAAGCGTGATCCTCCACTTTCTCACTAAACTTGGGACTGACCGGCACTCCTCGAACTGTGATCAAATATGAGGGCAACATGAGGAGTTGCGGACATGCCCGCACACGCCAAGGCACCCGCTCCATGTCGTAGCCATCTCACACCGTCCCACCTGCAGCCATCCAATCCTCCTTCTTCTCTCATCTCTATATCGTGTGGAGCAGGCAACAACACGGGCCAAGGAAGCGGTGCCTCACGGCATCGCCGCAGTGGGCAGAGAAGGGGTCCGACGACGGCGTGGACGATGACGGTGGAGACGGTTGATGACCTCGCACGCCCATGTTGTGTTGCCCGACCTTGTCTTCCGCTCGCCGCGCGTGTTTGTCGCGCGCCTGCTGGCGAGTCATGCACGTGTTGCCTGGAGCTCACGCACGCGTCGCTCTGGGAGGCGTTGTGCGTGCCATCGCTACATGCGTCCATGCTGAGTGCGCGTGTGGTGCTGCTGCTTGCGTGCTTTGGCCGGACGACGATGTCGCACATAAACTGTTTCATGAAATAATCAAAGCAGGGAGGACGATTTTGAGGAGTCTGGTTGTGCACGCGTGCAAACGAGGGCTCAAAGCGGATGTTTAAGGGTCCATATTTGTCCATCATGCCCGCGGATGCTCTTACCTCCGGCCCTCTTTGTGTAGATGTACTTTAGTCTTTTCAGGCCGTTGTAGCACCGTGAAAAAAAAAACTATAGAAAGATCATTTTTCTTTCCTCCACTCTTGTGGAAGAGGCGGCGGCGGTAAGTTTCCTTGGTACTTCCTCGGCCAACCCGTGGATTCTCCTTCCTCTTCCTTTTGCATGACGCTCCAGCAGTCGGGATGAAGAGGAGAATCATGGTGACTTGGCTTAGGCTAGTAGTTTATATTAGGGGTTTTCTCCTCGCAGGGACGATGTTCAAGCAAATGACAACGTCTATTCTTTGAGTTGGTCATTTGGGGTTCAATCCTCCTAGAGTTTGTCCGCCAGGATGGTATCAACGGAGCTTCCTCGTAGATTTCTACCGTCATCTTCGGACGGCGATGTTAGTGGAGCTTTAGACCGGTTTAAGGATTAAATGGCGACGACTGCAGATTCACGACACACGCATGAAGACTTTTTGGCTCCATCGACAAGGTCAAACTGGGTTCGGCAGAGGAGAGGCGATAGCGGTGTGTCGGTGGCTCATTCTGATACTGATAGTGGTGGTCCGATGGTTCAGAAATCTCGATGTAATTTTCATTACATATTTAAAAGCTTTGCATATCTTATGAACTTTGGGTCCGCACCTTTTTGCTGAAGAAAAAACAAACTAGTTTTTGGTGTTAGTCAGGAGATCCCTTGGACCAGTGGTGTACGACGACGTGCAGGAGGTGGTTCGTTGGTGATCTTTTACGATGCCATCCGTGCCTAGTTCTTCATCAGAGTTGGAGTTGTGCTGTCTAGTTGCAGGTGACTGAGATTTTGGCATGAATTTTCTTATCGCTTCACACGACCTCTACAACGCAGGTTGCGTCGACGGTCACATTCGGCGAGGCCGGAGTCGTTTGCTCAAGGTTTCGGGATGGTGATGGCAGGGATGTATCTGGTGCACCAGGGCAATTTGTGCTACCGGTGCACCGGTCGCCCGTTGCACATTCAAAAATGTTCGATAAAATCCTGAAAAAAATTGGTGCATTAATACAACATGAATGTATGCTGTCACAAAAATTTAGATCAATATTTGAAACATTGCTCGAGATACAAAAATAACAAATTTGACACTGAATAGTACATAACACAAGTTGGGCTTCAGTTTTGGCCCATTAGCACAATGACATCAAATTTGTCATTTTTTGTATCCTGACCATTGTTTTGAACTTTGATTTGAATTTTTGTGACAGCATACATTTATGTTGTATTGATACACTAATTTGTTTTCGAAATTTTTTGAACATTTTTGAATGTGCAACGAAGTCTGGTGCACCGGTAGCACCAATTATCTTGGTGCACTAGATACGTTCCCCAGCGATGACGCCTCTAGGGAAGAAGTGATGACGATAACGCTTGCATGCTGTCTCGATTAGGCCTCTTTGAAGTGGCGTATGCGGGGTATCTTATGTGTGCCGCTCAGCGGTTGTGCGAGTTTTCTCTTGGTTTTCCATAATTAACGGGTAGTTGGTTTTCACTTTTTTTTCTAATTAACCAAGCAACTATTTTCATGAACATGGGAGTTTGTCATTTTGAGGTAAAAAAAAACAGATGGTGGTCAACTTCACCTCAGGTTTAAACCGGCGGACCCTGCTTTGACTAACGTGGCTGACCTGACCTGACCAGGGTTAACCCAGCCTGAAGCAAGCGGCCAGTAGCACCATGATTGAGATAGTCTGCCACGTGCCGCGCGTACTGTACGAGTCTACGGGGCACGGAGCTGTACTCCTACTCTACTTGAGCAGCTCCATTCTCGCCGCCTCCTCTGCTCTGCTACTCCCAGCAGCTCCACCTTTCCTTCCCACCCCCGCTCAAGCCGACCTGCCTGCAATCACGGAGGACAGGAGAAAAACACAAAGAGACAACACCGCGCCGCTCCAGCTCCAGCCCCCGAGGCAGCTCACCGGCGGCCATCGTCCGCCCCCTCCCCCTCCCCCGCCCATTCCCGCGCCGCCCCGCCCGCTCGCCGCCGCCTGCTGATGCTACCCGGCTCCGCCGCGGCGACACCGGCTCGCAGCTAGATCTGGCCCGCAGGAGGCTCCCGGGCGGCATGGGGCGGCTCGCGGGCCTGCGCTGGCTCCTCGTCCTCGCGTGGGCGGCGGCGGGGGCGCTGGCCGCGGAGGAGGATGGCAAGGCGGCCGTCGTGGCGCCGGGGCCGCGCCGGCACGCGTACGCGGCGATGATGTACATGGGCACGCCCCGCGACTACGAGTTCTACGTGGCCACGCGCGTCATGATGCGCTCGCTGCGCGGCTTCGGCGCCGACGCCGACCGCGTGGTGATCGCCTCGCTCGACGTCCCGCCGAGCTGGGTCCAGGCGCTGTAAGCCCTCCCCCACTCCCCCCCCTTGTCGTATTTCTGCCTTGGATCGTTGGGCGGTGCCAAAAATTTCACCCCCCTGTTGACTATCGAGTAGATATTCGATGCCTAGTTTGGTTGCTTGTGAGTGTTTCTTTTTCTTCAACCTCCGGTTGCTTCGCTGGTTGACTTCGCGCTTGGTTGCTTGTGAGTGTTTCTTTTTCTTCAACCTCCGGTTGCTTAGCTGGTTGACTTCGCGCTTGGTTCGTTGCTAGCTGCGTATTTATAGCTACATCTATGCTCTGTCAGTAGCAACTTGGGTAGTTCCATGCCGTATTTTGATTCGACCCCCTTCGTCTGCTGTTTCGCGTCTGAACTTTGGTTGGTCAGTGGAACGCCTTCGTTGCTGCCCAAGGCCGATTGATGATTATCTGATTATTTCGCAGCAAAGATTAGTGATTATTGTTTGATTTTATGTTACAGTGTATGGATATATTCATCTGCTTCCTTCTTCTTCTTTGGTTCAAACTTGATTTTCTTCCTGTACAACTCTCTGAACATATCGGGTATCCGGTCTGAAAGGTGGCGCTCTGCCGTTGCTGAAATATGTAAAGTTCTTGCAATTTCATCTTGCATTTCTGTGAACAGTTTTGGCGCGCGGATCCTTTTCGCATTGTCCTGTTGGTTACTGTTTCTTCCCGTACTTCGGGATGCACAGACGATACATATGTTACATGCTTGCTTCTTGGAAATGGTCTTCTCTAATGGTTACTGTCGTTGAGTCGGTTGCTCTCGTATGCTTCTTGGAAATGGTCGTCTCTAATGGCACAAAGTCATTGGAGTTTGTTAAGAATACCACCTCATCTGCGTTTTGAAATATTTGTTGATAAATTGCGAGACCCGAGCTGCGAATTTCCACCCACCAATTTGCACACATTTTACCTACCTTATTGTTAACCAGTATTTCTTCACTGTAGAACATTTCGTGTTCGACCACTGATTTGTGTTTCTGTTGGATATTTGCTGAAAGCCGCAAGATTTGACCAGTCAACGTTCTATAACTTATAGAGTACTTTTTTTTCGAAAAGGAGGAAAACCCCCGGCCTCTGCATCTGGTCGATGCATACGACCACTTTATTAATTATTAGCACAAAACCTTACAAAGTCGTACAACAGTAAGACCAAAGCCACCATCTTCGCAACCTCTGTCGCTACTCCTATCTAACTGATGAAGGGGCGCTGATGGTCTGGGCCTAATACCAAACAGACCCTGCAGCCAAACCTAACATCTAAGACCTGAGGTCCCAACCTGGACGCCTGCCGGGTATGGGCACCCACCAGTCCGGCATGCTCCTCAACCCGGCCACCCGCCAGGTATGAGGCCGCCACAGCCACCTGCCACCAATCCATCTTCAGAGCTATACTGCTGCATACACCTTGCCCGGTCTCGCTGCCGTCGACGCCACCATGGCACCAGACAGCTCCACCGCCCTGCGCTCGTCCATCCAGCCGCATCCATGAACGATATGTAGCCGCACCATGCCGCCAAAATCATCGTCATCAACGCGGAAGATACAACGCCGCACCACCAGGCAACCTCCGCACCGTCGCCACTGCTGGAGGTACTCGGAGCCCACCATCCACATCATCTCTCCCCCGAACAGCTGGTCCTCCCAAGACGGCGCCTCCATGGAGGATACGACGTGTAGGACGCCGCCGTCGCCCAATCCAGAATGAATTTTGGACTTTCGTCCGGGATGTGTTCGGAGGTGGATAGGAGAGACCTCGGTTTCGCCTCCACAGAGGATAGCGGCGTTGAGCGACGTCGCCGATGCCGGGCCGGCCTAGCCGACCAAAGTTTCCTCCGGTCCCCATCCTATGCCACCAATCCTCCGCCTGCTCCGGATCCGGCGACAAGCCACGATCCAAAACCTTGCGAAGATGGAAGATCCATGGTGCTCGACCCACCGGAAAGGAAGATCGAGAAGACCCCGTTGTAGATCTCCAGACGCCAAAACCCGACGTTGCCAGTGACGACCAACCTCACCCCGCGGCGGCCGACGGAGTCCGAAGCCAGGATCCAGATGGATCCGATCCGGATCCGGCGACACCCGCGACCACCGGGCAGTACCAACGCAGCCACCACCTCGCAACTCGCAGACCGCCACCACGGCGCCACACGACATCGCCGGGAGACCCGCCGCCGCGCCGCCGAACCCCACGTTAGCCCGGCGCTCCCCTCGTCCCCACTGTCCCGCGCCAGCCAGAACGAGATGGATGGGAAAGGAGCCCCGCCGCCGCCCAGCCGGCCAGGCTTCGCCCGGCGGCGTTGCGGACGGCGGCGAGGAGGGAGAGGGGCGGAGGGAAGTGCGAGGGGCGGCGGCTAGGGTTTCCCCTCGGGTCGCCCGCGGGGACGACGCGAGGGGCGTCAAACTTATAGAGTACTTGTTAGGTGATTAACTGACTGTGACCGCATATAGCTGTAAAAGGTAATTTCAGTTGGGCATATATGTCGTGCTGTTTAAGTGACCACATCTGGATGTCAGACTAGGTTGATTTATCTCTGTTATGGCTTGTTAGTTGGACCTACGAGATTATGGTTTCAGAACATCCTAGCTTTGTTTTGTGGTTTTGCAAGTTTTCTCTGTATCTTGGTGGCCAAAACTTTCTCCCCTGTTCCAGAGAATGTCAGCCTGTGAATTATTTTCGAATTTGGGCATTTTCACAAGTGGGCTTTAATATATGGACTAATGCATTCAAAACTTCAAGCTGTATTATGAGAAGTTGAGAGTTGTTTCGGGTTTAGAAGCTTACTACATCTGATCCAAAATGTAGGTCCTTATAGCATTTTACCAGTCAAACATTTAAGAATTAGTGCATTCAAGACATCAAACAGTACTAGATTTATCATGAAATATACCTTTATAATATATAGTTTTCATGATGTGAGACAACATATTCGCATGGAAATCTACGGTTGAAGTACCTACCACCTTGAAGACTATGTCGATGTCCTAAAGACTTACATTTTGGATCACTAGAGATAGTTACTATCGAGCTGTGTATTCAACAGTATTTTTTATATGAGAACTATAACCGATCATGAACGGAAAATAGTGGCAGTATAGAGGAAACTAAGGCGATCAGGTTGCAATAAAAATGGAGCCGGGCGGGGTCACTCTCTAGTTGTGTGACAACAGTTATTATGGCAGTGCGTGAAGCATTATGCTTTTTATTTTATCTTTTAATGTAACATTCTTGTGATGCCTCATGCTACTGCTAGAATTCACATGTATTCTGAAGCAAATCATGCAGCATACATTAATTACTGTTAAATATGCTTAATCTGGAATGTACCTTTTTTTGGCATGCAGAGTCTTGATTCTGTTATTTATTTATGAATCTCCAACTGTTCCTGTAGGAAAGATGATGGTGTGAAGGTGGTCTCTGTGGATAATTTGAAGAACCCATACGAAAAACAAGATAACTTCAACTCACGATTCAAGTTGACCTTAAATAAGCTGTATGCTTGGAGCTTAGTTTCCTATGACCGAGTTGTTATGCTAGACTCTGACAACATGTTTCTCCAGAACACTGATGAATTATTTCAGTGTGGCCACTTCTGTGCAGTCTTCATCAACCCTTGCATCTTTCATACAGGCCTCTTTGTACTGAAGGTAGGATTACTTAATCAGCACACATCTCCTTTCTTCTGTAAACATTATTATCCTTTTGCAGATCTAAGACTAAAGTTGTGTTACTGCTTTGTTATTTGCAATGGTTATGAATGGAACTTTTGAGATCATTTTTGGATGCTTTGTTTGTTGTTCAGTATTTCGTTTTACGAGTGATCTAGCTGTCATTTGATGCTTCGTACTAGTTTATTTACTGTGTTGGGTTAAAAATAGATCTTTGTGGTTTTGTTGTCAACTTGTTTAGTACAGATTGTTTGTTTATCTAAATGTATTTTTTGACATAAATGTATTTATCTAAGATGCGTGATGCATAAGTTTTAGAAATACTCCATCCGTTCCAAAATAGATGACCCAACTTTGTACTAAAGTTAGTACAAAGTTGAGTCATCTATTTTGGAATGGAGGGAGTATGTATTGTGCGGACTAACTTATGTAGAAAATTTGAACCCATCTTTGTGCTGTAGAAGGACTGGTCATGGTTCTAAAACATTGAAACCCCTTTGTTATGCGCCAAAATAATTATTGTTGACATTCTCACAGTTTTTAATCAACCATTTTTCTTTCCGTTTTTTTACGAAAAGCACGACTATTCTTATGATCTCTTTCTTTTGTTTCTAGCCTTCTATGGATGTTTTTAAGAACATGCTACATGAGCTAGCTGTTGGGCGTGAAAACCCAGATGGTGCAGATCAGGGCTTCCTTGCTAGCTATTTCCCAGACTTGCTTGATCAGCCAATGTTCCATCCACCAGTTAATGGCACCAAGCTTGATGGAAATTACCGCCTTCCTCTAGGCTATCAGATGGATGCATCTTATTATTGTGAGTATGACTACCGGCCGGTATATCATTATTCCATATGCATTTTCTTGGCTAAGACTAATGAACTACACTTCTTTCAGATTTGAAGCTCCGCTGGAGTATCCCGTGTGGACCTAATAGTGTGGTTACATTTCCAAGTGCTCCATGGATGAAGCCATGGTACTGGTGGTCTTGGCCAGTTTTACCTCTGGGACTTTCTTGGCATGAACAACGTCGTGAAAACCTAGGGTGGGTGGTTTCTCTTGAAACTTTGTCATCCATATCTCTATTACATTCTCAAACTCTGATACTAACCTTGCATGCCAGATAAGAAAAGGCTGTTTTGTCAAATGATAAGTAGCACTCATTGTGTACTGATGTGATTGATCACATGTCTTTCTGGAATCGCCATCTGTCTCTTCTTTAGAATAAGAGCTGTATTAGAATAAAACTGCACAACACAGCGTGCTATGATGCTTTTTTATCGTTTAGGATAGATTCCATAAAGTAGGGGTGGTTAAGAACTTGTGATGCCCTAAAAAATTTGCATGGGTAAAGGAGCATCATTAATTGCTATGTAGAATAATTCAGAAACGCATCATCAGTTACATTTTCTGACAATGTTTGAACTTGGTGCAAAACAGGTATTCATCAGAGATACCGATGGCATTATTCCAGGCTCTACTGTACATTGGAGTCATCGCGGTGAACCGGCTAGCACGGCCCAGTTTGTCGAAGCTCTGCTACAACAGAAGAATGGAGAAAAGCACCATGTTCTTACTCACCACGCTCAGAGTAGTGGCAGCATGGTCCATACTTGCAGCCTACACCATTCCCTTCTTCCTCGTCCCACGGACCGTCCATCCGCTGCTAGGCTGGCCACTATACCTGCTCGGCTCTTTCTCCCTCTCTTTGATCGTCATCAACTTCTTCCTCCTCCACCCCCTTGCCGTCCTCACGACATGGTTCGGGATCATCGGCACGCTCTTTGTGATGGCATGCCCATGGTACACGAACGGCGTCGTCAGGGCGTTGGCGGTGTTCGCGTACGCGTTCTTCTGCGCGCCGGTGGTCTGGGCGTCCTTGGTCAAGATAATGAGCTCCTTGCAGGTCCTGATCGAGAGGGACGCCTTCAGGCTGGGGGAGCCTAACCAGACGGCCGAGTTCACCAAGCTTTACTGAGGTGGGGGCAGGACAGATACATATATGGTGACTTGTAGTGTCGTTCGATTTGATCAGCTAATCCCAGTTCATGTTGGCAATTCTGATGGCCATTTCAGCTGTACAAGTATAACCGCCGAGCTTGGGAACTACAGTTGTTGAACCTCTGTAACACGAACTGGAACCATTGGAACCCATGATGATTGTCCTCTTGGACGTGTAGATGATATATATATGGTGCCGAGGAAAAGGGGAAATTGATGCTTGTCCGCATGTGTTGGTCCTGGTTTTGCTGGGGAACATACTCCTACTAGAGTAAATGCTTTTTTGGTTTCTTGATTTGCTGTTTTTTTGAAAAGGGGGAAAAACCCCGGCTCTGCATCAGCACGATGCATACGGCCCTCTTATTAAAAAATGAAGTAGTGTCAAGATGGTTCCAATGGTCGTAGAAAAGTAGAAAAAGCTCACACAGAGCCAAAAAAGGCTAGAAACAACAACTAGCCAAATCAAGATGTCACAACCGGCTGGGTAAAGTAGATAGGAACACTAAATGCTTATCCTATTACATGACCGCCATCCAAACCGGTTGAAGATATCCCGAGCTACCATCTCCCAGCGGACAGACCCAGTAACCAAATGCTCCCTGGCCTCCGTCTGGGTGAGTGGCGACCACGAACGAATCAGTGCCGTAGTCCGGAATAAAACCTGCAAAAATTGTATACATGATATTCTGTTAAAGACCAAATCATTTCTGCAATTCCAGATAGTCCACAACAAAGCACAAGCCCCAACCCGAATATGTCTCGCTACGTTAGACTCAAACCCATTAAGCCATGTCCCAAAAAACGCATAAACAGAAGTCGGGGGTTTGATATTGAAAGCAATGTGGACCGTCTGCCAAAGTATCTTGGCCAGCGGGCAATCAAAAAATAGGTGTTTAATAGTCTCATCCCGATCGCAGAAACTACACCTAGTAGGTCATGTCCAATTACGCTTCATCAAGTTATCCTTAGTTAAAATTACTTGTTTATGGACAAACCACATAAACACTTTTATTTTCAAAGGAACTTTGACATCCCACACATGTTTGGACGTAGGAATGGAGTTCAAATTAATTACATCAATATACATTGATTTAACCGTGAATACTCCAGAATACTCCAGACTTAGTCAACTTCCAGCGTAATTCATCGGGTTGTTGAGAAAGCTGCACTTCCATCAGTCTCCTAACCAGACGGAGCCATTCTTCCCAACGATTGCCCGCTAGCACTCGTCTGAACTGTATATTAAGGGGGATAGATTGAAAGACCGATGCAACGGACACCTCACGTCGTTGAACAATGCGGTACAAAGAGGGATATTGGATGGCTAAGGGTGTGTCACCGAGCCAAGTATCTTCCCAGAAACGTGTACTCGTGCCGTTTCCAACAACAAACTTTGTCCTATTAAACAAAGCCTGCTTGACCTTCATGAGACCCTTCCAGAAGGGCGAGTCGGTAGGCCTTACTGTGACCTGTGACAAGGTTTTTGACTGGAGGTACTTGCCGCGAAGGATTTGAGCCCATATAGCATCATTTTCCGACGAAAACTTCCGCAGCCACTTGCTAAGAAGGCATTTATTCTTAATTTCTAGATTCTCAATACCTAGACCCCCTTGGTCTTTCGGTCTACAGATGATATCCCACTTAGCAAGCCTATATTTTCTTTTAAGCTCATCACCCTGCCAAAAGAACCGCGATCTATAGAAGTCCAGTCTCTTCCTAACACCAACTGGTACCTCAAAGAACGAGAGAAGAAACATCGGCATACTTGTGAGCACCGAATTAATTAGGATTAATCGGCCTCCATATGACATGAGCTTGCCCTTCCAGCAGCTCAGTTTCTTCTCAAATCGTCCTCGATGCACTTCCATTCTCTGTTCGTTAGCCTACGATGGTGGATAGGAATTTCCAAGTATGAGAATGGTAGCTCTCCCAACTCACATCCAAACAATTGCCTATAAGCATCCTGTTCATCTTTGGCCCTACCAAAACAGAACAGCTCGCTCTTATGAAAGTTTATCTTTAACCCGGTCAATTGTTCATAACACCAGCTTCATATTTCTTGCCTTAGCCAAGTCATGCTCCATAAAGATGATTGTATCATCAGCGTATTGTAGGATAGAAACACCTCCATCAATAAGATGAGGCACCAATCGACCTACTTGACCATTTTCCTTAGCCCTTCCTATCAAGACTGCCAACATATCCACCACTATGTTAAACAAGATAGGGGACATCGGATCTCCTTGTCTTAGGCCTTTATGTGTCTGGAAATAGTGACCTATGTCATCATTAACTCTAATTCCCACACTACCTTTTTGCGTAAATGATTGAACCTGTCTGCGCCAGGCTTCATCAAAGCCTTTCATACGCAAAGACTGTTGGAGAAATGGCCATTTGACCTTGTCATACGCTTTCTCGAAATCCACTTTAAAAATCACTCCATCTAATTTTTTGGAGTGGATTTCATGGAGCGTTTCATGCAGGACTACCACCCCTTCAAGGATATTTCTGTCCGGCATGAAAGCGGTTTGGGACTGTTGCACCACAGAATGCGCAATCTGTGTGAGCCTGTTAGTCCCGACCTTAGTGAAAATTTTGAAACTAACATTAAGGAGACATATAGGCCTGAATTGCTCAATTCTGACCGCATCCGTCTTCTTAGGAAGTAGTGTGATAGTCCCAAAATTCAAGTGGAATAGTTGAAGCTATCCAGAGAACAGATCATGAAACATAGGTAGAAGATCCCCCTTAATAATGTGCCAGCACTTCTTATAGAACTCAGCCGGGAAAACCATCCGGTCCAGGAGCCTTATTATTTTTCATCTGTGCAATAGCATCGAAAACCTCCTTCTCCGTGAACGGGGCAACTAGAATGTCATTATCAGCAGTCGATAACTGAGGCGCATCCTGAGTTCTGGACTCATCGAGGGACACTGTATTCTCCTCCGGCGGTCCAAATAACTGCTTATAATAGTCCGTTATGTATGTTTTTAGGTTATGTTGACCTAAAATAGTGCCCTCGTCCTGCTCAAGCTGAAATATTCGCTTCTTTCTGTGTTTGCCATTAGCTATTAAATGGAAGAATTGAGTGTTTGCATCCCCCTGGACCACTCTACGTACTTTAGCACGTAAAGAACACTTCAGTTCTTCTTCGCGGAGTAGTTCTTTTAACCTCTTTTCTGCCTCATTTTTAACCTGAAGCTCTGCTGGTGCCAAAATGTTGGATTCAGCCTTAATGTCCAGGTCATGTATAAGAGTAAGGAGTCTATCCTTTTCAATCTTATACACACCACTAAGGTGCTTAGCCCAACCTCGTAAGAAACTTCTCAAGTTCCTAATCTTATTCTGCCACCTCTCAATTGGAGATTTGCCTCGAACATCTTTAACCCATTCCCTGGCTATCAAATCTAAGAACCCTTCCCATTCAAACCACGACGTCTCAAAGGAGAAGGTGTTCTTGTTACCCACATAATTCGGCTCCCCTGAGTCCACGAAGAATGGCGTATGATCAGATATTCCCCTCGAAAGAGCTTGCACCGTAACCAGCGGGAATTTCTGTTCCCACTCCACGCTTGCAAGAACTCTATCAAGTTTTTCGTAGGTTGGGTTTGGCAGAGCGTTAGCCCATGTGAACTTTCGACCAGAAAGTTCTATCTCTCTCAGATCCAAGCTTTCAATAATGGTGTTGAACATGAAGGACCATCTGCCATCAAAGTTATCATTGTTCTTCTCCTCTCTCCTCCTGATGATATTGAAATCACCTCCAACTAAAATTGGCAGCTGCTCTGATCCACAGATTCGAACAAGGTCTGCGAGAAACTCCGCTTTAAGCTCTGGTTGCGCGGCACCATAAACCGCCACCAAAGCCCAGTTAAAGCCATCCATCTTAGACCTAACTCGAAACTTGACCGCGAAATCGCCCATCACTACACTACGGACTGTTGGAAATATGCCCTAGAGGCAATAATAAAAGTATTATTATTATATTTCCTTATTCATGATAATTGTCTTTTATTCATGCTATAACTGTATTATCCGGAAATCGTAATACATGTGTGAATACATAGACCACAATCTGTCCCTAGTAAGCCTCTAGTTGACTAGCTCGTTAATCAATAGATGGTTACGGTTTCCTGACCATGGACATTGGATGTCGTTGATAACGGGATCACATCATTAGGAGAATGATGTGATGGACAAGACCCAATCCTAAGCCTAGCACAAGATCATGTAGTTCGTATGCTAAAGCTTTTCTAATGTCAAGTATCATTTCCTTAGACCATGAGATTGTGCAACTCTCGGATACCGTAGGAGTGCTTTGGGTGTGCCAAACGTCACAACGTAACTGGGTGGCTATAAAGGTACACTACGGGTATCTCTGAAAGTGTCTGTTGGGTTGGCACGAATCGAGATTGGGATTTTGTCACTCCGTGTAAACGGAGAGGTATCTCTGGGCCCACTCGGTAGGACATCATCATAATGTGCACAATGTGACCAAGGGGTTGATCACGGGATGATGTGTTACGGAACGAGTAAAGAGACTTGCCGGTAACGAGATTGAACAAGGTATCGGTATACCGACAATCGAATCTCGGGCAAGTACCATACCGCTAGACAAAGGGAATTGTATACGGGATTGATTGAGTCCTTGACATCGTGGTTCATCCGATGAGATCATCATGGAACATGTGGGAGCCAACATGGGTATCCAGATCCCGATGTTGGTTATTGACCGGAGAACATCTCGGTCATGACTACATGTCTCCCGAACCCGTAGGGTCTACACACTTAAGGTTCGATGACGCTAGGGTTATAAAGGAAGTTTGTATGTGGTTACCGAATGTTGTTCGGAGTCCCGGATGAGATCCCGGACGTCACGAGGAGTTCCGGAATGGTCCGGAGGTAAAGATTTATATATAGGAAGTCCTGTTTCGGCCATCGGGACAAGTTTCGGGGTCATCGGTATTGTACCGGGAC